ATATCTATCTTTCTATCTATCCATATATAGATAGATAGATAGATAGATAATAGATATATAGATAGATAGATAGATAGACATATATTCATGCGCCTGTACGGCGCGTACGCTGTCTTGCGACGGCGCAACGCGCCGCTGCCTGGCCGATGACCTGCAGGCTCGGAGCTTCTTCCTGCTTTGTAGAGGCTTTCTCCTTGCACACGTTTGACTCGCAGGCTGCCTGGTCGATGACCTGCAGGCTCGGAGCTTCTTCCTGCTTTGTAGAGGCTTTCTCCTTGCACACGTTTGACTCGCAGGCTGCCTGGTCGATGACCTGCAGGCTCGGAGCTTCCTCCTGCTTTGTAGAGGCTTTCTCCTTGCACACGTTCGACTCGCAGGCTGCCTGGCCGATGACTTCTGCAGGCTCGGAGTTTCTTGCTGCTCTGTAAAGGCTTTCTCCTTGCACGTTTGCCTGCCTCGTTTGGCTCGAAAGGCAGAAGAAAGGGAAGAAAGGGAAAACGCGTTGCAGTATTTTGCACACATTGCAGCATCTTACTACACCTAGTACGCTTCCTTGCCTGCCTTGACGCTGTCTTGCGAAAGGGCCGGTGTGGAGATTATTCTCAGCTTATTCTCATCTTCTCAGCTGACCATACTTAGGACAGTTGTTTGCCCGCCTCGACGCTGTCTTGCGAAAGGGTCGGTGCAGACACTTTTGCATTTGAACATACTTGGGACAGTGTTTTGCTTGCCTCGACGCTGTCTTGCGAAAGGGCCGGCGTGGACGCCTTCTTCCATCCCATGGATTCGCGGTTGCAGAAGTTCCGCGCCGGTTATGCCCAGCAGGGCGAAGACTGGCTCCGCAGCGAGCTGGACAAGCAAAACCGGCAGGACCTGCGTGGGCTCTGTGTCGCTGCGGGTGTGCAACAGAAGTCTGCCGGGCACACGCTTACCAGAGCGGAGCTGTTGGAAGCTCTATCAGAGAGCATTGCCGGGGAGCAGGGAGCAAGCAAGCAACGACCCAAACACGAGAAGAATGTGCGTGTGTGTAAAAAAAGCCAAGTCTTCAGGAAGATTTTAAGATGTGCCATGGCTGATCAGAGACCAGTCAGTCACCTGTGACTCTGTCCTCATTCGCAGCTCTATTAATTATTGTGAAGTCAGTGAAGCTTCTTGCAATAACGCCATTTTCCGCAGCTGGTGTTTCCGCTGGTACAGTGAGGACGATGTGAGGCGTTCCACCCTTCATAACTTGAGAGGCAGGAATGCCAAGGACGAGTGGCCAGTTCTTGGCCAGGCACATTTCCATATATATAATATATATATATATATATATATATATATATATATATGTATAGTATCCATATATTATGCATTTGCCAATCCCTCTGACAAGTTGCCACTTGACCTGTTGAGTCAGGCTCTGAGCCCTCACGCTAGGCGGATCTTGATTAAGCGTTCCCACACACAGGGCATAGAGTGAACTACATCGAGTCAAGTGTATGGTACAAAGATGACTCCACGACTCCGTGACTCTATCTCACTACAACTCTATGACTTTATGACTCATGACCCATGGACTCTATGACTCTTGATTCTGTGACTTTACGATCCTATACACTGACTCTATCTCACTACGACTCTATGACGCTATGTCACTGCAACTCTATGACTTTATGACTCATGACTCATGGACTCTATGACTCTTGATTCTGTGACTTTACGATCCTATACACTGGATCTATCACATAGCCCCACACTCTTCGCTGATGATGCTTTCGGGCCAATTGTCTTCTAGTTTTTTTCCGGGGATTGGCGAAATGCAGATTGAACCTTGGACTTCATACGCCACATGGTGTCAGACCCAGCTTCACCCTCGACAGGATACCAGCCGACGATGGATTTTATCATTGTCCTTTGCAATGTGTTTTTTTTCCAACCGTCGTTCGGTAAAAAGGGAGGCCGCCAAGACCAAACACAACCGTCGGCGTGATGAATGCATTGAACATTTGTGGTTGACCATGTATTGAAACGTGTCAATATGTCAAAACATGTCAGAGCATACTTGCGCAGCGGCCGTGGACGGGGCCGTACAGCGAGTGGCCGAGCGCCGCAAGCACGCCGCGTACCCGGAACTTACGCGCGGCGGGCCGCAGACGCTCGTCGTGCTAGGCTCCAAGGTTGGCGGCCGCTGGAATGCCCAGGCCCGCAGCTTTGTGCGAGACCTGGTGCGTCTGAAGGCATACCGCGCTCCCCCAGCCGTACGCGCGGCAGCCACCGCGGGATGGCCAGGCATGGTGGAGCCTGCTCTCAGTTGCGGTGCGGCAGGCAGTCGCCAGTACGGCCTTGGGCGGCGCCTGGCTGCAACCGCTGCAACCGGAGGCCGGCGAAGGCCCGCCGCTCGACGGAGTCCTCCAGCTTGCCGCCCCTGAGGGCCAGAGCCGCTTGCCCTCGCGGTCCTAGCGAAGGTCCGCAGCAAGCCCTGCGCCTCGGCCCAGTAGGTCCCAGATCACAGAGGAACCAGAAGACTCCTTCCGGCCGGCGGAAAAAGGTGCGTAAAAAAAATTGTCAAACTTGCTCCAAGCGGCGTTGATCCGATAAACAATAACTGAGCAGTATATAACGGAGCATCTGCGAAGATCAGCGCGTTTCAATACCAGAGAGCAGTTGAACTATGGGTTGAGTTCCAACCCAATGTTTGCCAAAACTGCTGTTAGCTCGCCAAACAGGCCTATCAGGCTTTTATCAAATTTGTCGGGTGCTTCATGTCAACACCCTCGTCATGTAAACATGCTTTCCATTCGCGTATCGCATGTTCTAAACCGGCGTTCAAAAGCAGGTTGGATTAATGATGTGGACAGTTACAAGATGGAAGTTTCGGCTGACGGACACCGAACCCAATTGTGAAGAGCACAACCTCGGCACGCTCGCCCAGAACACCAATCGCTTCGGCAGTTTTACGGTGCCGCCAGCAGCTACACGTGGACTGATGAGGGCGGCGCCTCCCACAGCATTGCACAGGCGGAAGGAGGCGAACAAGGGGATCCGCTGATGCCGGCCCCTTGCTCGCTTGCTCAGCGCCCCGCAATCGAAGAAGTGCAGCCGCTGCGGGATGCGGAGGCCATTCTGGCGCACCTCGATGACACGTACATCATCGCCGCACCGGAGCGGGTCCAGGAGCTGCACCTGCCGTACCAGCGGGCCCTGTGGACACACGCGCGCATCGAACTCAACTGCCGCAAAACGCGGGTCTGGAATGCAGCACGCGAGGAGCTTCCACGCAGGCATCTTCGAGCCGCAAGCCGACGCTGACAACGCTGTGTGGGTCGGCGACTGGGCGCTCCGGCCAGCACCGGGGGCTCACTGTTTTTCGCACACCTAGCTGTTGGCAGCGACGCCTACGTCCAACGGCGCCTGGAGCTCAAGCGCGAAGAAGACGTTTGCCTCTTGCAGCGTATTCCGCTTGTTCCAGACGTGCAGGCGGCTTAGCTGTTGCTGCATTACTGCGCGGCTCCCTGTTCAAACTGCCTGCTTCGCTGCTTGCCCCCAGCCACGACGTCGGCTAATGCCTCCTCGCATGACGCTGCCGTCGGCCGCTGCTTCTCAGCACTCCTGGGCCAGCCGAGACTGCGCGACGGGATGCGACGGGCACACCTGCTCAGCGCATTTATGCCTTTCATGTGGAGGACGTGGACACTGCCCTGTTTTTAGGTTTGGCCGGCCTGCTTGTTCCAGGCCGCGAATTGCAGCAGCACTCCTGAGCGTTGCCCTGGGCGCCGTCACGTGTGCAACGCCGTAGCACGGCGCAGCGAAACTCCTCAGTCCGGCGCAGCGAGTTTGCAGCAGCCTCGCTCTCGAGCCTTTCTTTTGTCAGTAGTCGCTCGTATAGTTTCAGAGCTACGTGCCAGACGTGCGCATTTATGTACCGCTGCAAGTTCTACTGTGGGCGGGTTGTTATCAATGCAGCGTCGCATTCACGGCAGTATACGTGAGGAAAAGTTTTACCTAGTATTAATACCTTCTGCACGAACTGCTGGCTGACCCATGATGGCAGTGCATGATGTGGTTTAGCAAGGCGACGGCTGGGTCAGCCTGGTTGGAGTTTTGGAAAGGGGGCACAAAAGGGAAAGGCTGGTGGCCGCGCGTGTTGGCAGCGGGCATGTCGGGGCAGGGTCGTTTGCGAGTTGTGTGGTTGCCTTATTTGTGCCGGCTGCATCCGTTCCCTTGTGCATGGCCTTCGCATCCGTGCTTACGTGTTGGTACCCAGGTATACATACAGGCTGCAACATACGCGACACGAGAAATTATGTCATGTCGAAAACGCGAAGCAGCTTAAATGTAGTTAAAGTTTTTGGGTGCGGGACAACTGTTTTCGGGAAGCCAGGTTGTGGAAGGAAAGCCATGAAAGCCGCAGCATAGCTAACAGGAACAAGAGCCATTGGTTGTCCAGTACCACGTTGGGCAACATTTCGGGAGCTGCTTATTAACAATTGGGCGCATATGGATCGGCGAAATGACGTGAGCAGAACAAGCGTCGCGCTAAATGCCCTTCATCCGTTCATCGCGAACTATCCGGGGCATTGCAATATGTAAGGAACACTGATTTGTTTCCTGTTGAGGTTCTATTGGCACTGACATGTTTGGCTGAAGTTTCATGCGGCCGCAGCATTCGGCGACGTAGCGTCATACTCAACAAGAACAAATGGATTATAGTTTCTTCGGTTTGCATTCCCCTGGCAGCGTAGCCTCGCGTTGGCATTAGTTATGATCCCTCAGTCGTTCTAGTAACATCATTGGCGTTGACGTGTCGCTTCTTGACTCACATGGGATGGTGTGGCTCATGTCGGCCTTGGATTTTGGGCCGCACGAAGCACCGTTTTGAATGTTGGTTTGTTTCCTAAGCATAGCATCCCAAGGTTTTGCCACACCACGAATTGTGTTGTGGCCAGTGCTTAAGAACCGCTGCTGAGGTATGGATATGGGTGTTTGCCCTTCCATCCGTCAAGGCTTTGTGCCCAGAGATGTGTATGACAAGCACCGGGCAACAATGGCCATGCAGTCCTTCGTTTGCAACTGTAAAGTTTGAAAAGTTTTCCAAGTCGGCAGTCGTACAAACATGTTTCGCAGCTATTGCCAGTATTCTTTATGTGCCACTTCCATGAAGTAACGACGTTCCCAAGGATTCTACAACAACGGGTGTGAGGTTGACATGATCAATAATCCGAACCGAAGCTCTGTGGATGACTTGCACATCGCAGTCATCGGACCCTACAGTGGCAACATCGGTGATATTATGACCTCTGCCGAGCCCCTCTTGGCAATCGCAGCGCAGGAAATCGAAGACAGTGGCATCCTTCCGGGCTATCGTATACATGCACATTTAGCAGATTCCGGATGCTCGGAAGCGGGTGGAACGTTAGCAGCAATAGACTCGTTAATACGCGGACCGAAGAAGCATGCCATCCTCGGCGACTGCTGCAGTCAGTCCTGTGCAGCGATCAACGATGCCATGCAGTTGTTCAACGTCCCTTAGTAGAGCAGGCAGCTTTTGATTTGTTTGGGTACTAGCATATAATCCCTATATATAGTCTCAGAGGAGAACCTTTGGCTTCCCTGTGGTACTGGGCAAGTAAGGTCTTACAAATTTCCCCCGGATGTGATTCGCCCAGTCTCAGCGATCGAGCACGATTCCCATATTTCACTCGAATGAGCCCATCGGATCGTTACAAAGTCATCGCCATCTATGAAATCATGAAGATGCTAGATTTCCATCGGGTGAGCACCATTAGTGGGCCAATCTACACAGAAGGTGCCAAGTCCTTTTTCCATGAGTTGATAAAGCGGGATCTGGATAATGGCACGTATCCGTGGACGATCTTGTCGGATGCTTCCATTGGGTTTGGCAGCCCGGAGGATTATGTCATGGTTGCAGACACCTTGAAGAAACGGGATTCCCGAATCAACATGATGGCCTTGCCAGAGTTTCTTCGGCGTTCTTCATTATACTATACTTCTTTAATATTTTTGCTTCTGTCCTACACCACCCCAGGCCCTAAGCCCTATACCGAACCCGAGAAGCTAGCTCGAGAGGTTTGTTGGCGTGCCACTACTATGCCAGTTCTACTTGCGCGGACTGCTGCCACCAGCCCCTCGAAAGGGGTTTTAGGTTCAACAACTATAAACCCTAAACTAGGTTCTGCATGGGGGTTGGCGCACAAATCGTTCAGGGCTTTAGGGGTGAGGCCCGGATACATAGAAGGAATTCGCGAAGAGGGCGGCAGGTCCGACCGTCAAAGATATGGGAGTTTCCGAAAATAGGGGACCCTAATATAGTACCCTAAATAGTAGGATCCTTATTATAAGGACCCCGAAATAAGGTACCCCTAATTTCGGAAACTCCCCTATTCAGGTCTTGTGCATGTCATGTTACCCAACAAGTCGGCTCAACACAAGGTCCCATAGTAGTTCCTTTTTGGGGTTCATATTTAGAATCCTACAACAGTTCGATGTTTCATTTCTTCCGGGCTAAATGAGCAAGACTCAGTTCAACTTTATTGAGCTCAGGACTATGTTTGGTTCGTTGCTGCCTTCGACAACTGGATCCCGAATATCACCGCCAGCTTCGCGGGCTCTCCGGACACTTGGGCGCATTTAGAATTTGTTCTTTCGCATTTCTACTTGCCATGTTGGCCACTTTGGTCACGAATGTGTATGCCTCTGCGTTTTTAAGTCACGCAAGGTTAACAACTAGTGGAGCTGCTCTCTGCAGATGTCAATCGGTTTCAGGGTTCGGGGTTTGGGATCTGCCATCTCTGGTTTTTGCAGCTCGTGCGAACAATGGGTTCGTATTATTTGAAACCTTTGTCCGTGGCCCGCTGCTCCCTACTTATAGCTTCTGATGCTGTGGTGGTGGGTTTGAAATTCAATAAAACATCAACGGCGTTCCAGAGCATTTGAAGTTCTGTTGGACGGGAGCGGTTCGAAGTCTCCGTTCTGGTCGGTGTTTGGGTTATGTAGCGACTGTACTGCGGTGGGAGTGCTGCAAGCATTTTTTGTATTTGTTTCATTCGATCAACTTTCGCATCGAACCGCATGATTGTAAGGGATGCAATTGCACGGCCGAGCAATTGCACGCCGTGTCATATGGCCTCATTGTCAGCGGGCGTGGCCCCATCCAATCAACCAATGATGTCCACGGTCTTTCAGGACGGAGACTCTCAGACCTTTCAGAGCAATACAACACAGAATGTCAGAGCTTTGGAGGCGGACAGGGGTCTTGCAATGCTTTGTGGTCCGGGTATTTTTATGATGGTCTGTGGCATTTCGCCGCCATTCTGCATGCTTACTTGGTCGAGCAGAACCATTCCATTGCAGATTTGGGAACTCCGTCGTCAAGACTGGCCCTCTACGAGCTGTCATTGCGCCAGGACTACATGGGTCTCACTGGCCCAGTTCGCCAGTTTAACAGCATCGAGCCCACAACAACCCCACCGTCATTTGGTGATCGAGATGGGTTAATGCTGCTTCGCCAGATGTCTGGCCCAATTGGCAACGAGTTCGTTGAGGTGGCCCGGCGCACAAGCGCGGCGACAGCTTGGCTCGCTGACTTGCGGTGGAGCCCGGTCGATAGCACAAAGATGATCGCTTGCAGCGGGGTAACTTGTGATCTCGATAGCGATAGCGCTTGGATCCCACGAGATCGCATTGAGCAATGCCCAGCTGGATCCGTCTTCTCGATTGAGTTGGGCTGCGTCGCTTGCACGCCCGGCAAGTATGCAAATACCAATATGACAGAGTGTTCCTCCTGCGGAATCGGTACATTTGCGAATGAAACAGGTCAAGGGGAGTGCACCCCATGTTCCCCTGGCAGCTTCAACAACGTCCTTAGTGCCGAAAGCTGCGAGTTGTGCGGCCAGGGCTTCTTTGCCAACACATCAGGTGCATCTTTGTGCAGGAAATGCGACTTTGACACATATGCAGCAGAGAAAGGCCTTATGTCATGCTCTGCATGTCCAGCGGGCACAACCACTGCCTTCACAGGAGCCGTGGATGAGGAAGCTTGCCAGTGCAAGGGTGAGCTGTGGGACGGAGAGTGCGTGGTGTGCACGGGGGACACGCGGTTCGAGGATGGCAGATGCATCAGCTGTTCCAGGGGATTGATATGTGATGGAAGCAAGGAGCCCATGCTTGCTGAGGGATATTGGGCTGCAACCGATAATCGCTTCAGCGTCTACCAGTGCGTCCCCTATGAGTTTTGTCCCGGTGGCTTACCGGGACAGTGTAACGGAGGACGAATTGGAACACCATGTGCGAACTGTCCGCCTGGACAGTCTTGGCAAACAGAAGTTTGCGCCGATTGCACTCCCTTCAGCGTGGCAGGATGGCTTGTCGCAGGCCTTGCGGCTGCGATTGGCATTCCAGCGGCCTACTACTTCATGAACACCAAGCAAACCTCGAAGGCGACCACGATGCTTGCTACCTCATGCGGTGTTGGGATGACGATCAACATGTTGCAAAGTATCGGTATCATTGGATTCATCTCCTTTTCTTGGCCGCCTGCTTTGCAATGGCTCCTTAGGTTGTACTTACAAATATTTTCTAATTTTTTGTTATTATAATAATCCCTAAGAAACAGCTAAAAAATAATTTTTGCTAGGGTTCTAAGTTCAGTATAGAAAAACATTGGATTTATAATCTAACCTTACTTTATAGTATAACCTTAACATATAATATAACCTTAGGCTCTTCAATTTGATGGGCATCTTCACGCTGGATTTACAAGCAATTGGCTTCGACTGCGTTTCCTCCAACCCAGTCCCTCGGTTGCGATAGCTCTGGGGTTGTGGGCGCAGCATGTAGTGCTTAGGGTTTAGCGTTTAGGGATTCAGGGCTTGGTGCGTTGCAGTCCCTGCTCAAAAAAAGGGTTTAGGGTTTTGTAGTGATCTAAAGCACCGGAATGAAAGTGATAGTGTGATGCACCGAAACTCCCAGTTGAAGCCAAGGTTCTAGGCTACGTTTCTATCACCTCTGCTTTGCCGGCGGCATTGACGTGGCTCCTCGTGTTCAGCTTTCTAAGCAAGCTTCTTCCGAACAAGTTTCGCGTCGAAGCATCGAAAATGCTGAGCACGATGGGGCAGTTCTTCCAAGTCAGCCCCTTGGTCCTGCAATATGCTTGGACTTACATCGGACCCTTATTGCTGAACTGACATAGATGGGTATAATAATAATTTGTCCTTCCCGCTGTTACACCCCGACAGTGTGGTCTGCAAAGCATGGCCCGATGGGTTTTCCTCGTGCCGTTGTGGCCAACACACAACCTGGACCCTGAGCCTGAACTTAAACCACAAAACCGAAAAGTCCAAGGCCCCGAAATTTAAAACAAAAACTTAACACCCCTATAAACCCCTAACAGCGGACTTAGCGGCAGCCATGCCTGCCTTGTGCGAGTGTGTGAGTCGAAACCCTTATCACCCCTGAACTGCAAATCCGAACCGCAGGCCATAAGCCCGGCAAAGCTCAAAGCTTTGAGCCCCATCCCCAAAGGGTCCTACAGGGAACTCCAGAAAGTTGGAATATGGTTTCAGGGTAGGATACCTTATAATTTACCTTACAGGGGTTACGATAATGATATTCCAACTTTCCGGCTTCTACTGTATGTCATGTTATGGGGAATACTTCCCTAAGTCAGAATGGTAATTCCAATATGGAAACCCTACATTCTACTATATCGGTACATAGGACACTTTGGGATAGACCACAGCCTCTCAGGCTTCACGATCTACAGCAAGATCGCGCTGTCACCCATGATGTGCTACTTACTCAGCCAATGGGAGGGCTTTAAACTTTTCGGCCTTATATGAACTTATGTACACTTGTATTTCTACTTATATTTTTGGTCTATCTTACATTCTGTTTCGAACTTTGTGTTGGGCCCTTGGCTATTGCGGAAGAGAGGCTACACCCACCCAAACGGAAAGAGCGGCTTGTTGGAGAACAACGGCATCTTCTGCTTCGAAAGCCCCGAGCACACGCGGATGCTCCTTGGCTCGGTTGAGAGTTGAGGGTTCAGGTTTTGGGGTTTAGGGGCTTAGGGTTTACAGGGATTTGAGGTTCAGGGTGGTCTTTGAAATGAGTAATACGAAAACAGCCAGAAGAAACCTAAATAATGATTACCAATACTACTGAAGCACAGGGTCGAACAGGGTTGGGGGGGGTGCATTCCCTATACGTTCTTGGATCTTCTTGAAGATTGCAGATTTCCAGTAGAGAAGTCGTCGATTCTTACAAGAGATGGTAGCGAAGGTCTTGCAGCACATGCTTGCGTTGCAGGATTTGGAATCTGGTTTAGCGATTCTTGTTTCCAGCCCGTTGGCTTAGCAAGGCACAAAGCATGGGGATTCCCATCGAGAATATGTGAGTTGCTGGTTTAGAACTATAAGGGTTCAGGGTGCGTAGGGTTCGCCCTAACCTCAAACCCTACACCCTCTGCTGAAACCCTACAACTCGAAACCTTGAAAACCCTATAATAGTGCCTAAACCCTTTCCTTAAACTAATCCAAAACCCCTGAAAAAAAACTCTAAACCCTCATCCCTAGTCCCTAAACCCTAAACCCCGCTCAGTTTCGGCCTCCCCACCTCCGTAGCAGGGCTCCTAGGGATGATTGGAGTTAGGACTGAGGGCGTAGGGCCTAGAGGGTTGAGAGGTTGGGGCTTACAGAGTTTAGGGTGTAGGTCTTAGAGCTGGAGGAGCCATGTGATGGTGAAAGCTACCAAAGCGAAGCTAAGTAAGGTAACCAAACCTGAGTTATACATTTTTAGGTGTAGGTAGTGTGCACATGATACTGATTGTCGCGCGCGCGGTGTGCAAGTACGGGGTTTGCACGGGCTTGGTGCGATTGCGGCCTGTTAGGATTTGTCACTTTGCTGTTTCTACTGATGTAGAAAGCCTCCTGCGAAGCCGGGGTCTCTAGTTGCACATCATTAGGAAAAGTGGCGTGTACCTCACAGGCCCGAACTTGTGGACGGGTTACCATACTGGCAGAATCCCATATGCTGCCCTAAACCCTACAGTAGAAGCCAAAAAGTTGGAACATCAGTAGCCTCATGCCCTTAAAGTAAAGTAAAGGGAAACCCAGCATGAATCATCCTAAATCCATGTTCCAACTTTCTGGGGTTCACTATAAACCTAGCTCGAACGTGACCAGGTTCATCGCCGGACTTTGCACCATCGCTTTGCTGGCGAGCGACTTGGATAGAAACTCTGCAAGCCCATGGAGCTCGATGTTGTTACATGGGAGTTTCCGAAAAAAGGGACGTTAATACGGTGCCCTAAATAGTAGGATCCCTATTTAAAGGACCCAAAATGAAGTACCTCTTATTTTCGGAAACTCCCATATATGATGCCCTTACGAAGCTAGCCTCAGAGAACCTGAATCTGACACGCTATTTTCTGAAGAGCTAGGCAGCGTCAGCTTTCGCCAACCAACTAGTAAATGTCACAAGGTTGTGAGTTTTGGGATTGTGCGAAAACAACAAAGAACGAGTGCCGTGGTAGAGTTGTTTGTGGGTTTTCTCGTCATGTCAAGCGACCTTGACATCAAAGCAGGAGCCCTAAACCCCACACCCTGTTTCTTGCTTCACGTTTTTGCCCATCAGCACAAGGAGCCACTGCTTGAAACCCTAAGCCCAGTTTAGGGGTTCAGGGTTTAGGGAATCGAAAATAGGCCTGGACGCAAAGAGGTTTAGATGAATTTTTGGACATGCTCTACCAGGACCCCCAAGGGGCCCTTAAATGGAGTTCTTACGGCTCTTAACAGGGGGTATTTGGGGTACATTTGAAGGTAGTTGGGGGGTCTAGGTATAGGTCGTTAACCGCAAACCCAACAGGTTAAGAGTTTGAAGTCGAAACCCGTCAAACTCCACACGCTTTAGGCTTCTATTCGACGGCGCTTTGGGCAACGATCCGCGCACCGAAGTATGCTGCCGCTGGTAATGCATCGACCCTTGGGCATGGAAGAGCACTGGGTGTGGGTTTACAGCGTTGGGGCTCTACTAGGGTTTAGACGAAATAGTGAGTTGCTCAGGGTAACCATGTCCATACCTATATGCCATGAAGTCGCATGCTTTATGCAAGAAGTGGTAGTCTGTAGACCTCATCAAGAGAGTGTACATACCTGTCCAATGCATCACTGAATATTAGACGAAGTTTGCCAATCTTTGATGGCAGCAACTGTCATGTGAAAAGATGTTCGATCTTCTAGTGGTCAGTGCTGCCAACCACTTGGGCTGCATACCCTGGTTCCCGCGATCGAGGTAGTCTTCGTGGAAGTTTCAGCCCTGAAGCACAAACCCTTAAGGTTTGGGCTCGCAGTTCAGAGAACAGGATGAAGGTCTCGTGACCGCCTGGGTTTCGGACCATGCTTGGACTATGGGACTGTGCCCTGCTGGGGATCGTTCTACAAGCGTCCTTTGTCATGCAACACATGCAGAGCTCATGACTTCTTACTATCAAAAAGCTCCAAACATATCTCGCGACAGCAGTCAGCCTGCAACCTGAGAACAAGAGATGTTTGTGTCGCCATCAAGGTTTATGGCAGCCACGCGATTTCTTCTTTTCCGCTTCCGCACGGACTCTTGGTGGTTTGGTACCTTCATGCACCTCGGTGAACTGGACGTGTTACCCTAAAACCCCAAAGTAGTTCCTTTTTGGGGTTTGTATATAGAATCCTATAAGGTAATCCCAACAAGGAACTACTTTGGGGCCGATGTGTAGTCGAAACATGACAGCAAAACGGTGACTTAAATCTTGCTGAACCACCTGTGCGGTTGTTATACTGCCGTTGCCTTGCATCTCAATGAGAGTTGTTGGCGGCGCACCCCCTATCAGGCCCGAGCCGGCGGTTGGTTGCTGTGCACCATGCTGCGTTTGGAGTGCATAGAGCTTCGAGTTCAGAGCCTTCGTACCAGTCTTGGGGTTTGGTACATACCTTAACCCTGAATAACCTACCTTTTTAGGGTTCCTTAGTATAATTTCTTTATATAAGTCCCTAAAAAAGTAGGTTCTTCGGGGTTAAGGTATTCCTGTCACCGAGCGAGATGCGAGATAAGGTCGTGTCGCCTGGTGTTTAGCATGTGAGCTACAGTCAACTTTCTTCGGTCTAAGATCGCGATCATGCTACTTCCTCCTGGGTTACGTAAGGCGTCAACTCTAAACCCCAAGCTCCATAAACCCTACAGCGTAGAAGCTGAGTAGGTAACCTTTCACCTTTTGAAGTTCTTATAATCATAATAATGGGAAGGTTAACCCTGTTTGGGCTAAGGCACTCACCCTCTGAGCAAGGTTGGAGAGGCTTAGGGTTCATGTGAAAGGCAGTAAGGGCTTTATCAAGAGGCGCTTTGGGGTTGCCGGTACGGAGCCTAAATTCCTAAACCCTATGAACCCTATACAGGGAACTCCAGAAAGTTGGGATATGGTTTCTTGGTAGGATACCCTATAATTTACCAGAGAAGGGTTAGGATAATAATATTCCAACTTTCTGGCTTTTACCTTAGATCCTAATCCCTATAAACCCTGTCCATAAGGCTCCCGCGTGGTCTTTGCCTCTCGATGTCCATCGTCCTGGCGGCGGACAACCCGTATATCCAGGCCCGGTCTGCCTCTGGGCGTTGGTCGTAGGGTTTGGGTTTTCGGATTTAGGGGTTTGGGGTTTTTAGGGTTTGGGAAACATCAGCTCAAAAATGCCAGACGTCGAAATCTTACAGCCCAAACCCTAATTCGAACCCTCTCAAATCTTTGGCTTCTGTCATGTCTGCCTCTGCAGTGAGACCAAGTCAGCAAGTGTTGGTGTGAAAGTCTGCGCAGAAGGCGCGTCATAGTCTCATAGACCAGAAGAGAACACAAGGAACCTCCAAAATTAGTTAGCGTTGAGAAAGAGTAAGACCAAAGACCAGCCATAATCCTTGAACGCTTAAACCCTACATGCTTCAACCCAGAACGCTAGAGACACGCAACCTTAAACCCGAAATCAGATGATTTTGATCATCTCCGTCATCCTGACTTACATGCTCGTGTCTCTTGGCCGGAAAAGGCTGCATGCATGCAGACGAAGGAGCGGCAGAAAATGGGGTCAAGGCCTTCGGTTTGGAGTATTTCCCTTGACGTCCAAGTACCTATATATATATATATATATATATATATATATATGGTATATCTATATATATATATATATATATATATATATATGTATAATATATATATATATGGTATATATATATATATATATGGTATATATATATATGTATGTATATATATATATATATATATATATGGTCTATACTTAATTAATTGGCTATCGGGACCTCAGGTTCAACCAATATAGTACTACAAGCACATGGGCTCTAGAGTTCAAATTGCCGGCAATGTTTCAGGTATAGCATCCAAGCCGTTGTCATGGAGCCACGCAGAGTCCGTTGACTCGGAGAAACGACTTGAACACGCGATTACTTGAACTGAGACCCAGATCCTAAACCCTGAGATCCCTCAACACGAAACCACAGACCCTTCAATCCTGTAAACCCGGTACACCCTAACGGTTTAGGGTTTAGGGTACCCTGACCTTAAAACGGGGCTACGAGTTTCGTGGGCGCTGGCCGGCACCTCAGTCCGTGCTGAAAAGGGTACCCTGACCCTAAACCCTAAACCTGCTTTCACACTGAGGCAGCTGATCACATGGCCTTGGAAACTTCCCGCCCTCAATGCCTTCGATGCCATCGTTTCCTCAGCGATGCTGATGATGATGGCAATTCTGGGCCTCTTGCTTTACCCTCAGGCCCCAAAGTAGTTCCTTTTGGGGGTTCATTTGTAGAATCCTATAAGGTAGTCCCAAAGAGGAATGAATTCTGGGGCTCTTGCTTTAGGGTTAGGGTTTCCTAGAGGGTCTGACTCTACCCCGTTTTTTAGGGTTGCTACTTATCTATGTAACAAATCCGAAGCATAGAACTAGGTACCTTACAAAAGGGGGCTAGCTTCTCTGCTCCACATTCGGGGTCGTCGAAGAGATCCGAGTTTGGTACGGTTGATGATATAGATCCTGCATTACTTTAAGGACCCTAAACTACTGGAATTATGCCACAAGCCTTACTATGGGTAATGCAGGACTTATACAATCCACAGCATTGCATGGTGTTTTTAGTCTTCAGAAGTTGGGGTTGGCGGGTCGGAAACTTCGGAGATCGAAGCAAGAGCCTGTCTCAAATGCGGCTTTCAAGTTTTATTGCTGAAGTTTGCCAAAGTACTCATTCATACATGCTTATTATAACAATAACCCTATCCCTCCAAGGACCTCATAGTTAAAGTTAGGGCCCTCGACCCCTTAAGGACCCCACAATAAGGTCCCTGGAGGCATAGGGTAATGATGGCAATACCAAGAGCAACAGCAGTAATCATAGTCAGCTGCTGTGAAGTCTTAGCCGCAAGCCTCCGTGTTCTCGCGGGTCTTGGTTTTAGGGTTTCTTGGGGATAATGGGTTTAGGGTCTCTTTGGGATTAGGGTTCGCTTTATAGCCTTAATTCTGTAACCACTAAGTAGCATGTAATTAACGGCCTGTGCGAAACACCAAGGAGCCTTCGCCCCAGAGCTCGACGATGCCTTAAAGGAGCAGCTCACGGAATTTGTCATCGGAATTGTGATGTTCCTGCCGCGCAGCTGAACATATCTTGTAGGGATTTTCCCGTATGAGCCAGGCTCTGAGGACAACTTTCTCCGCCGATAGCCTGCTGCAAAAGCGTCTACTGCCAAATCTAGCTTCTGCCCTGGTGCTTGGAAGCCGTACTTGTACAGACGCAGGCCTTTACTTTCTTTGCCAAGTACGCCGGGATTTGAACCTTCCATCCCTGCGACCCTTCCTTGCTGGGGTTCTGCTATTCATTGCAGTGGCAGCCGACATGAGCATCGTGGGGGTAGGGTTCTACTCGGACCATCTCGACCCATCTCGACCCATCTCCACTCTCCACTCTCCAGTGTTCCTTAAGACCTGGTGCTGGGTTTAGGGGTTTAGGAAGGCTTGCCAACCCATGAGATCCTGATGTCAGGAATTGTGTCGTCGTCATCATGCTTTGCGTCGCAGCATTCGGCTTGGTCAGACGCCGTGCCGCATTTTTGTCTTTGGCGGGCGAGTGGTCTGGCGGTTGGGCGGTTTCGATGAAGGCGACTGCATATTCATTAGGAGCAAGATTACCTTATCGTCCAGACATGGCTACACCACACCAGGAAATTCCATGCTAATCAAGGCCGCCGTGTTGGGGTTTGTGCACTTTGGGGTCAAGCGCAAAGTAGTAGATTTGGGAGGCTTCGTGGAAAGGATGGGCATTGAAAGCTAGATCGTGATAAAGAGCTTCATGAAGGATTTTGCAGTTGTGGTAAGAGCAGGACTTCTAGAAATCGTTATTCTGGCAGCATGAGCAAGGTAACAGCAATCAGGATACCGATCCTGAGCAAGAAATCTGTTCGATGCGTTCTGATTCGACGGCGCTCCGGTCTGTCTTTCGTCAAAATGCCTACAGAAAACTCAAAACCCTGAACCCTGATAAACTTATTCATTCTTTCTGAGTGTTGCCATAGAATGACCTACTCTGGAACCTTACTGGAGAGCGGAAAGGCTGTGGGCCCCACAGCGTACTTTTCTGAAGCCCTAAACCCTCAACCCTGAGCTTGGTACTGTTGATGGACAAAATCCTGCATGACCCTAAACTATGGGAACTATGGTATATTCCTTATAATGGGTAATGCAGGATTTTGTCCATCAACAGTATCATCGCCTTCGGAGTGTTGCCATAGAGCGGAGCGATCGAGCTCATGGGCAACTGGATTGGGCTTGCACCCACGGTCGTCACAGTGACTAACTTTTCATATGACGTAATGCAGTCTCATGCGCTATAGAGTAATCTATGTTATGACGTCTTTATTGTGTTACATGATAGTGTTTTTTTATATTCTATTCTGCTATTCTAATTAGATCTGGGTATCATCCTCTAGTATAATTTAGTATATGAGGCATGTTACATTATTACATTCCTCATTCTGTTGTTAGGTCTGGCATGCAGCCGGCACCAAACCTGGCATATTTCATCAGCGGGTATTTGCGAGTTTCTGCGGCTCGATGTTCTCTCATGATTGGCCACTGTGGATTCCTATGTATCGTGCTTCGCTTGCTGAAGCTGTGAAGCAGCATTTCCTAGACTCTCTGTCCACCTGAGGATTAAATACCATGGGCGGCTCCAACGAAAACTGGCTTCTAGCACTGGGTGCCGATGCTGCATGGAGTAGTGGGAAGATTCCCCTCATGCCATCGTCGCAAGGACTGGCAGAGTAGTCACAAGAATCGTCGTCGCTGCCGTCGTAGAAGTAGCAGGAGCTGTTTACACACCCTTCGTCCTGTAGTGATTGACGATTAGTACGACGACCACAACGTCGACTACTACTTGTTGCCTCTGCGGCGCCCATTACTAAAACTACCGCGACGACGGCCACTGTGACCACCACCACCACCACCACCACCACCACCACCACCACCACGATACTTTTTTTGAGGGGAGTTCAAGAACAGGCCAGGTTTTCAGATCAACATCCCAGCTTACTCAGAGACTCCAAAACACCGATGCGATGATATTATCTCCACTGACCTTGGTTTAAGGATGTTCGTCAATCAAGGGATGTTTGAGTCTCCCGCTACTTACAATCAGTAGCACAGCAAAAATTGTCAGCTTTAGCCTACCTTTGGCACCTCTAGCACGCACACAGTACCCCAAAGCCATAACTCGAGCTATGCAAGCTGTGTTCCCGAAGCGTTTAAGCCCGCAGCTCCATAATCTAGGGTGTTGGACTTCAGACTTAGGGATCGGTGCAGGGAACTGGTTTTGTTGCGTAGGGCCTAGTGTGATATTTTATACTTTACTAGTCAGGCCGCTGTATTCCGGAATTTGGAGACTCCTTGTGGAGGATGCCCATATGGCGGGAGTCCACTGAGCAAATGTCCGTGTGCTCGAGATGTTAAACACGCTTAGCGAAGGAATCGCTAGGTTTGAGGCGGGTATTTGCGAAGGGTTTCCGTTTTAAAGTTGACAACAAACCTCTGAAGCCTAAACCGCCACATCCCCCAAAGCCAACTGTCATGGTTTCAGGTGCAATTCCTTCGCCACGGCTCCTCAGCCAGAAACTCTTGCTTCTGGCGAACAAGCTAAAGGAGCGGATTGGTACATCGTAGGCCTTACTGTACCTGACTATAGCGGTAGAATATGAAAGTAGTTTGTCGTCTGCAGGGTAGCTCAATAATCTACTCCTTCTAGCAGGGCTTTACTGCAATTTTGAAATACGAGACAAAAATGGTCATAGGAACAAGTGTTTGAAGGTGGTACCTTAACCCCACAAAACCTACCTTTTTAAGGACTTATATAAAGAAATCATATTAGGGAACCCTAAAAAAGGTAGGTTCCTTAGGGTCCAGGTAAGGGTTGCGGATCGGAATTGTTTTTCCATACCGTCTCCACAGTCTACTCCAGCACTCGCTTCGTCCGGTGACTTTCTCAGGTTGGAGAAGTCTTTGCATCAGGTCAGAATACTGCTGCATGTTCGTTCGTTTTTGTACCCAAATTCTGTTCTAGAGTTTTTGCTGCGGTTTGGGCTGGCTTTCGCAAGATCTCAGGGATTAGATGGGTTTCAAGACATAGAGCATCATAGAGCCTTCGGCTTTACGTACCTGCACGGCAAGTGAGCCCAAGAAGAGTGGACATCTCCAGTGTCAAGAAGAATCCAGACCGTGATGAAGACCCGGATCAGTCGGATGAATGATAACGGGGATCCCACTGTTAATGGTCACTAAACCCTAAGGCAAGGGGGTTATCAATCTCTGAATCCTACACCCCAAGCCGTGGAAGCCCTATAAAGTGCCCGGCACGAAGCAAAGCAATCGCACACTCCAAAGCTCACAACCTGCAGCCCAAACCCGAAACTTCAACATAGCCGTTGCATATTTGCACGTCTAGAGTCTGAAATGTGGTTATACATACGTATATACATATAGACATGCATGTGTTTCACTTGAAACTGATGTATCATTAAAAAGAAATACTGTATATAGTAGCTTTAACGCAAGAGGCATAGGTGGCAATATACGTATGACCCGACAGGTGTATGTATGTATGTATGTATGCATGCATGTATGTATGTATGTATGTAAGTGTATGTCTATACACATACGCATAGTCATAACAAAGAAACACAGAAGATGCACATGTAGAAGCCGAAAACCCTCAACAACGACCAAGCTTTCTTCGAGCGGCCGACAGGATCTTGAGCACGAGGGCACAGCGCCGATCATGTCGAAGCACTCCAAAATTCAGCAGGGCGTTGGTTGTTGATGGTTTCAGGATGTACACGGGGTGAGTGTTTACGGGTTTTGGGGGTTCAATTTTTCAGGATTACCTGCGCGACTTCCCCGCCAGGTCCTTTAACTGGTGCACTAACGGTGCCCGACGCCAGCTCCAAACCCTACCTGAAGTTCTGAAAGCCCTGACCCAGAACTTAAAAAAATTGCGGAGCCTGGGCCTGGCACCCTGCAGTCCCGCTGGGAGCGGATCGAGGCCTCAATCAAACCCTCGAGTCCCGGCCAGTGAACCCTCAAGCCCACACACTGACTCTCTTACCATACGCTAGACCCTCTACAGCTCGTCATATCATACTCTGATTCCTAAACTCTACTGTAAACACCCTAACAACTCGATCAACCCCATAATTTTACTCTCAGCCCCAGACCCTCTGAACAACTTAACAGCTTCAATACTGCCTTAAAGGACCCTTGAGCACTTGAGCCCCAGACTCCTCCATCTTGAATCCCTGAACCCCTATTACTTATAATGTCCCCTATTACTTCTAAACCCTATTACTTATAATGTCTTTCAATGCCGACACCGTAGGCTTTTGAAGTCCTCAACCCTATAAACCTTAAACCCGAAACTGCCTGCTGGAGTGAATCCACACAGTAGGCTGATCCTACTTCCTCAGACCTCGCCAGGCTTGTCCGAGAGTGAGTGTCAAAACTCCCGAAACCCTAAACCTTAAACCCTAAACCCTGAACCCTAAACCCTATAAACCCTGAGCGCCGAAACCAAACCCAGGAATCTCTCCGTCTACGACCTGCGCATGACGAAGCTGATTCTGACTGCGATCGGCTCGGAGGTCGCCTAAGATGTCTTGAAATAGGAGCTTTACAAGAAAAACCTATACTATTTTGGGGATTTAGGGTTTAGGGATTCTTAACATAGGGGCTTGAATGTAATCCTATACTGTTTTTGGGTGTTTAGGGTTTAGAGCCATATAGTATCATGATCTGTTGTTGGTATCGCTACTACTATGATGGGTAGTAGTGTGGCTAGTCGCCGCAGTAGCAGTAGCTGTAGGAATAGGAGCAGTACTTAGAAATAGCTTCTAATACGTGCATCAGCCCCTCCATGCTCTGCCTGCAAAAAAACTGTAGGCCCGTTTTGAGACAGGCTTCTCGTGTTTGTGAATCGCGCCGCACCTTCACGCCAAGGCTCAAACACACTATCGTAACTGGAAGCTGAGCAGCGGTCTCGTCAACATCGAGAAGCTGTTCCCTGCACCCTTAGAGCCCCCATACACGGCCTCGGCTGAAAGTCTAAACAAGTGGAGCCCGGCTCATGATGCACGTCGTATTCGGGCGATATGGGAGCTGTAGAAAACAAGCGACCCTGATGTAAGGACGACCCCTCATCCAAGGGCATTCAACTGAGGACCTTTGATACAAAAGATTAAGAGACATGGAAGGATGCTTCTACTGGACCAGCTGCAGTGTGGACAACTGAAATCCTTTCTCGGCACAGCAGCAGCAGGAGTTTTGGGATTGGTAGTTTAGCAGCAGCAGAAATAGTAGTGGTCGTCGTCGTCGTAGTAGTAGTAGTAGTAGTAGCAGGAGCAGCAGTAGTAGTAGTAGTAGTAGTTGTAGTAGCAGTGGTAGTAGTATTAGGTAGTAGCAGGTAGTGGTGGTGGTGCTGGTGCTATTAGCGCAACTCGTATAGCCTCCCCCTTGTGGAAGAAATCCTTGCCCCACATGATTAGACTCGACGGCCCCGGGACGCTTTGGGCCGATGGATGGCACAGTCAGAGATACTGAGCCCTGACGGCCTTTCGACCTGTTGGACAGGCTGGAGAGCCTCTCCTGAGGATCACAAAGACGGCGCACCCCCTTAAGCCGCCCTACGTTGTCGACGAGGCCGGGACAGGAAAAGACCCTCCTGAGGCTTATAGGGTTCAGGGGAACCTTGACTGCGCATGATTTGTGTATTTCTGCTTGAGACGGATTAAGTTTCATCTTTGCCTGGCAGCCAGTCCGGGTTTGCGAATACTCTGATTCCATTTTACGGAAGCCGGCTGGCCATGGTGAATTTGGGGGCCTAAATAATTGCAAAAATTATTGGGGGCCCCTATGGTCGGCCCCAAAACCCTATTCTAGTTATTAAGGCCCCTATGGTACCTTGCAGCCTCGACAGTGCGAGAGGCAAAAACAGTTATGGAAGGAATGCCTTGCAGAGAGCAAAGCCGAAGCTTGGGTTTGCAATATCCTTGATGCCCCAGCAATTCTCAGGAGACGCGAGAGGCGGAAGAAAGTGATGAAGCGGATGAGGAGAATTGCTGAATCGCTACAGTCTTTTGCTCCTAAGGGTGAGCACCATTGAATACAGTCTTCCTCAGTTGGTAGAAATACTCCTCATAGAGTACAGTCTTCTTAGCGTGGTTTCTGGGTTTCACGGCACTTGTGTGGCTTGTAGTTGCGGGTGTCTTTTGGTAGTCGTGCCAACCACAGCAAAGGCGAGGAAGAGCCCGCCCCATCGAGGGCGACGACGAGTAGAGCCTCAGAGACAACCACCACCCTCCAGCAGCATCGACCATCAGAGCATGTAGCATTTGAAAGTCCATCTTTGGATCATCCAGGACGACCTGAAGTCAGCTGCTACCAGATGTGCGATGGAATACTTATACCTGTCGTAGGTGGAACCTGTGATGCTACCTCGGAGTTGTTAAGTTGTCCAAGCCGCTCTTGTGCCAAGCGTTGCCAATCCCAGTCCCATGCTGCTGCTACGCATCATGTCTTTCTTCTCTGCCTGCTACTGCTGTTACTATTGTTGCTGGAGCTGCTGCTGCTCCCACAAATGACGACATCGCCGAGGACGACTACTACAACTTTATGGCTGCTACTACTCCTTCCGCTGCTCTTGCGACTACTGACACTACGGCTAAGCACCATACTGGACATCAGGACGGCGATGTCCATCGTTATGGACACTGCCTTTGAACCGTTGAATCTGCCCACAGTACCTGCTTTGACACACGCAGAGGATTCAGCCGACGGCGACGATGCCCACGCCGCTAAGGCCATCCGACAGGTCACGGTGTGATTGAAGTCTACAGGTGATCGCATTTGCCCCGGTGTATAGTGATTGCAACACAATCGCTCCATAACCTCGGCCCACCAGCCTGTCGCGATGACCTTTCCATTGCTTCTAGTACACGAGTCACATCGGCTGTTTGCTCCACGGTCAGATGTTTCAGCAGGTGCATGCAAAGTCGCTTCATACTACCTAAATGTATAGGCTCCTATCCACACCCAACAGCAAATTGCGAACAGAGATATTGGCTTAGCTTTCCAAATGGCAAACCTGTAAACTGTGTAGCTCAGTAATCTGAAGTCGGGCTGCTGCATCGAAAGCCTGAGCGAGCACAGCTGTACCGAGTACTGTGAAAGCTTATAACCTTCATTTCAGTGGCCTCTTGGGAAGTAAGTCAAAGGCTGCTCGCTCGAGTCTGCCAGGAACCATCAGCGGATGGAGCTGCGCCCGACGCTACTGTGCCCAAGGAACGTGGATGGTGTTGTTGAAAGTTTAGGTCAGGATCTGTGTGCCAGAACAGTGTTTGCAAATTTATAGCATCCCCCCATGTAGTTCATGCTTTGTTTCCGGTCGAAGATCACCAAAACAAACGGCATGGTAACATCACTCACCAGGAGGCGCGCTCAGAATTTGGAGCTGCCCATGGTGTCGCTATTGCTCAGGAGCCTTCGCTGGGTTCTTGTTTAGAAGCTTAACCTGATTGGCCATAACGGTGGTTTTTTGTGAATATCAAAGGGGAAAGGGAGGGACCCTTAATGGGGACCCCTACCCTATAATGGGCTATATAATGGGTATATAATGA